TGTACCTTCTGTGTGTCTGGTGCCCACAGAGGCCAGAAGAGTATGTTAGACCCCTGAAGGTGATGTTACAGGTGATTGTAGGCAACCCAGCGGGGGTGCTGGGAACCGAACCTGGGTCCTTTGGAAGAAGAGGAAGAGCTTTTAACTGCTGAGCTTCCTTTCCAGCACCAGAATGTGAACTTCTTGAGAAGAGCAGTGACTTTGCCTTTTTATCATTGAAATATTCTCAGAGCCTGGGAGAGGGCTTACCATAGGCGCTCAGTCAATGAACAAAGACATTGATTCATACATACCCTTCTGTTCCAGGACAGCTTTACAGGTTAGAGTTACTCAGACAAACAGGCACAGAAAAAAATATTCCACATATCCTATGGCTCATCCACATCCCTTGGGGGTGGTGGTGGTGGTGGTGGTACAGGACTAGATAGTGGAAAAAGCCCCAGCTGGGAACCTAGCATCCCCTGAATGGGAAGGAAGGATGCTCTGGAGGGATGGCCCGCCCCGCCCTGTATCCCTAGCAACCAATGGGTGCGCCATCCTCCCAACGGCCCCTGGGACGTGTAGTCCCTGCAGGGGCGCCCTCGGGCGCCGCTGCGCGCCCCTAGACTCCAGGTCCCGTCGTGCGCCGGGAGGCGCGGGGATTGGCTGAGCCCCGCCCCCGGCCCGCCCCGCTTCGCTCGCGCCGCAGCCCCAAGAATGAATGAAATCGTAGCGCGCTGGGCGACAGAGCGGGCGGCGCAGGCCGAGCTGGGCCCGCGCGCGGCGGCAGCGGCGCCCCGGGCCGGAGGCGGCCCAGCCGAACGGGCCATGGCCACCGCCATTCAGAACCCGCTCAAGTCGTGAGTGTCCCCTCCCCAAGTCCGGACCCCTTCCCTCAGGAGCTGGTCCTCCCCCCCGCACGCCCCGGGGCTGGGGTGGGGGACGCAGCGCGTGGATGGCATGGATGGTACTCGGGGACCCCCTGTGCGCCCCCACTCCCCTGCGAGCCTTCCACCCCCTGTCGCCTCCTGGGGTTAGGTACGGGAGCCCTTCTGGGTCGCGAGGGCTCCTCTTCTTTGTCGCTGTCAGTGAAGGAATGTGGCGCGGGCTAGGGGGTGGCGGAGGCCGTGTCCCCACCCAGAGTGGGGGTAGGGGCTTCGCTCGCCTACTCCATCTCTGCTCCTCGGCGTCTTGCGGGGTGGGGAGGTGCACGACTGCCCTGGGCGGGTGGGAGGTACCAACCTCTAAGTGCGGACCGGGATCCTCACGCATCTCTCCACCTATTCCCCTCATTAAAAGCACCATCCTCTTGTCGGGTCTTTCTTCCGGAACCCCGCGGCTGCAGAGTGGGAGCCGAGACCATCCCCGTTTAAGTCCTTGCTGTCTCCTCTCTTTGCTCCGGGGTCTCCAAAGACTTAGAAGTCCCGACGTCTCGGTCAGCTCGGACCGTGGCAACCCTCCTTCTCCCCGCCCATAGGCATCTAACGCGAGCACCTCCCATCCCCTGAGGACCGGTGCTTAGGGAGCCGGGGCCGGGAGCGCCTCCCTCTCCGGGAATTCCCTCCCTTTCGGCTCGTCGCTGCTCTCCTCGGAGCGCTGGCCTCCTGCTGGGCCCGGCGACTGGGAACCGGGACGCCTGGGTCGGAGGCTAGCCCCTCCCCGTCCCTCCTCGCTCTTTGCCACCCGACGCCGCCTTCTCCTTTTTATATCTCCCTCTCTGTCCTTCCTCGGGATCACGGACCCCCGGGTCTCTCCACCCCCCTTTCCCTGGCGGTGACAGCCGGCTACGAGTGACAAGAGCGTGGCCGCTCCCGCCCTCTCTCCCTGCAGGAGAGCGGCACTCCCCTCCCCCGCTCCCCCCCACCCCCCGCTCCCTACCGGGCGGAGGAGGCGGAGGGCGAGCGCCCGCAGCGCCGCACAAAGGGGCCGGGGCTACCTCCCCCTTTCCCCACCCCCTGCGCTTATAGACTTGACCTTGAGCCTGGAGCCGTTGGGGTGACAGGGGGCGTGCGCCCCCCCCCATCCACCTACAGAAGGGTTGTTTGAACCAAAACCCTTCCCAGTTGCTTCTGGTTTCTGGAGGGGGGGGCATGAGAGTTAGGGGGGCAGGGATTTATAGGCAGCGCCTACAAGGGAGACCGTCTGGTGCCTGGGTCAGTGTGAGGGGGAGGGCAATGGTAACATTATGCTTCCCCCTGACTCTAAGTCACACACACAGAGGTCTGTCTTTTGGAGGGGCATCCTGACATCGGTGTGTACTGGAGTTCCAATCTGGGTTGGTGAGTCCGCAGACAGCGGAGGAAGTGTGCTGGATGTGCACTCTGCAGGAGAATAGAGTGCAGTCAGAGGGGATGGGCTCTTCTGCTTAACTTCCAAAGGGCCTGTCGGGCTGGAAGTGGGGACACACTCGTCCCTAAGGAATGCCAGAGCCACAGGTCGTGGTGGCACACGCCTTTAATCCCAGCACTATGAGGCAGACGCTGGTGGATCTCTGCCAGCCTGGTTTAAACAGTGAGCTCCAGGCCAGCGATGGCTAGAGCCAGATCCCCTTGGGAAGGAGAGTCCTTTGGCTCCAGCTTTAGTCCTTCCTGCCTGAATTCACACTTGGCTTGAGGCCACCGGTTCCTGCTCGGGGCCTCAGTGTTACCGAGTGTGGGTTGGGCCGCATAACTGTTCCTGTTACCTCATGGGGGCAGCAGCGAGGCTCCTGGAGGTTGTGAGTTAGTTACAGATACGATCTTAGGGGGCTCTGCAGGGCTTTTTAGTTTTGTGGGGTTTTGTTTGTTTTGTTTTGCTTTGCTTCCAAGACAGACTCTTAAAAACTCTCTAGCACAGACTGCCCTCCAACTCCAGTCTCAGCTCTCTGAAGGCTAGGTTCACGTGTCGAGCCACAGGACCTCACTAGAAAGCCTGGTCCAAAGTATTGATTACTACTATGAGCACAGATAGTGATTGCTATTATAACACAGGGCACTGGACTCTGGGACAGGAGTATCGTTTGGGCAACTGGGAGGACTGGGAGGCCAAGTTCTGAGGAGAGTGTGTGAGGAAGAGTCTGATGTGGACAGGCGGGGGGAGGGGGGGTGGGGGTGGGGAGCCAGGCCGGTTCCTAGCCACAGCCCGGACTTCTGAGGTGACCGGACACCTTCTCCACTCAGGGGAGGGCCTGGCCTGGGGCAGGAGTGTGAGGGCAGGGCGAAGGCAGAGGTGTGGAACCCGGGGAGGGTGTGCTGGGGACCTGGTGTGTGGTGGGGGGCGAGAGAAAAGTGACGGACCCTCCATGGCAAGGTGGGGTGGGCACCGCTGGGGTCTGGAGAGGAGGCTGAGTGAGGGGTGCCAGCATCCCTTATTTAATTCTGGGCAGGAAGTGAACCAGGCGCTCTACCTATGCTGGGATGGGTCAAGGCCTTGGATGGCTTAGGTGGGTGGATGGGACATTTGTGGGAGGGAGCTAAGTCTAGAGGTATGTGTAGTTCAGGAAATCTTGAGGCGTATAGGGAGGGGTGGACCACCCCCTGGTGGACAAGGGTGTATTTGTCTTAACACTTGATATGCTAATTTATGCAGCCACTCAAATCAGAATGCTGTTATTCCCCAGAGGGTGGGGCTGCCTGTGTGTGTGTGTGTGTGTGTGTGTGTGTGTGTGTGTGTGTGTGTGTGTGTGTCTCAGTAATCAGCTCATTCTCTGGGGCTCTGTTGGGGTAGGAGAGGAGACAAGGCTCCCGTGGGGATGGATGACTAGGTGAATGGGTCTTTGGACATTGCCTCCACACAGCCGTCAGGGCCAGAGAGCAGGTAAGGTTTCTCCTCAGGATCTCAAAGTCCTTGTCTGGAAAATAAGGAGAGTCCTAGTTTAGCACTTGGTGGGCAGTAAGTATCACTCAGCATCTAGTTGTTGAACACCTACTAGGGCAGACATTATTTTTCTATCACTTAATGCCCTGGTACAAATCAGATCCTCCTTGTAGATATCTTCTCTGTGGAATAAATGAATTTATTAGTACCTGCCAGGTACTATTTCTTCATCTGGGACCACGATCGAACCCATGGGCTCTCAAATACTTTCTTTTACCAGAACTGAACCCAAGCCTTGCTTTGAAAACTTGATAGCAGCTGGTGTGGAGTCACACACCTTTGGGAGGCAGAGGCAGGAGTGTGAGGCCAGCTTGGGCTGAGCAGCAAGATTCTGTCACTAAAACAGCCTCTTACCTGTTACCCATCTAACCTTCAGTCCGATGAGGCTTTATAACCATTTCCTAAAGGAGGAAACAGGCCCAGAAAGGTTAAGTCATGCGCCCGAGGTCCTGTCAGCGAGGATTGGAGCCCAATCCGGCAGTCCTGCGGAGGAGTGGACCGGGGTGCCCGCGAGAGTCAGCCCTGGGACACGATGGGTTCTCTGGAGTTTGGAGGGGCTTGGGGGAGAGGTGGCGTCTACGCCGGCATGCGGGTGACTCCGCTGGGTGGGTACCTGCGAGGTGCGCGCCTGTGGCTGGGCGTGAGTGAAGGTATGTGAGTGGGGTGTGTGGGAGCCTGCGAGTGTAGTGTGAGTGTGTGTAAGCTGCCATGTGCGCGTGTGTGCGTGCATGCGTCTGTGCACGTGGGACTGGGGAGTGCGTGTGAGTGAGCGTGTGTGAAGGTCTGCGTGATCCTCCATCCCCCTGGGTCTGAGGACCCGCCGGGGACTACCACTCCCGGCATGGCCTGGTCGGCCCGCCCCACCGTCCTGATTGGCTGAGATCCGCGTGCTCCCGCCCCCCGGGAATGAATGGATGGGCGGCCTCAGCGCCCGCCCGACCGCTGGGAGGACCGACCCGGCAGGGACCTGCTGGGGGCAGGACCCGGGGAGCAAGATGGCCACGGTCATCCCCGGCCCCCTGAGGTGGTGCGGGCGGGCGCGAGGCGGGGGAGTTGGCGCGGGCGGGTCTGCGCGGCCGCGCGCGCGCGTGTGTGTATGTGTGTGTGTGTGGCCGCTGGGGGTGGGGCCGCTGGGGTGTCAGGGGGCTGTCACCGTGTGCGGGGGTGCGAGCGTGTGTGACTGTGGGTGTCTGGCAAGAATGATGTCCGACGCGTTGCTCCTGGACCGGTGGAGGACGTGGGGGAGGGGTCTCCCAGGCTTTTTAGGGGAAGGGAGTCGTGTCCCCTCCCGGGGATGCCGGGGTTTGAAAGAGGGGCAATGGCTTAGGGAAGCTGGGGCCCGAGTACACTCGAGTCCAATCCACGCTACCTTTGTCTTGGGGTGTGGAGTGTGTTGTGCGACTTGTGTATTGCTTTTTTGTTTTCCGGCTGAATGTGTGGGTATGTGTGTGATTTCTTTTATTCTGCACTACCTCCGTGACTATTTGGGTCTCTGAGTGTGTGCACATGTCTGGTGAAGCTCCGGGCTTTGGATAGGGAGGTGCGGATGACATGGGCAGACCTGACTGTCCCTCTGTTTCCAAGGCGTGTAGCTGTGTTTGGGAATGTGTTTTAAATTTGGGTTTCTGTTTTGCCCGGGTGTGAATGCGTGTATGTGTACCTGTGCAGATCTCTGTGATTTCTTTGTATCATTGTGTGTTTGACATAGTGTCTTTGGATAGATGTGTAAGCGCATATGTAACTGTTTCTGGAGTCCCTGTCTTTGGACACTGTCTGACTGTTGCGATGTGTGTGTGTAGTGTGTTTCCATGTTGTGGGTCTTTGTGGATAATTTGTTTATCTTGTGGTCTTTGGATATATGATGTGCATAGGTAGTTCTGTGGTCTGTTTCTGATTTGGAATATCTGTTCTGCAAGAGATCGTGTGTGTGTGTGTGTGTGTGTGTGAGAGAGAGAGAGAGAGAGAGAGAGAGAGAGAGAGAGAGAGAGAGAGAGAGAGAGAATTTGTTTGCTTCTCCTTTGTGAATATTGGGATATGTTTCTCTTTGTGTGAATCCCGTGTGACCATGTGCGATTTGTTTGTTTTGGGCGTTTGGCTACGTTCATGTGTGGATGGGTCCCGGTGTGTCTCGGTCTGTTTCTGTATTGTCTGCGAACACTTCTTAACCTGAGACATAATCAAGTTCCAGGTAGCTGCCTCCCCGCCAGCACCCTGCCCCGCCCCTGGGTCCGGAGGGGTGGGAGGAGGGGGAGGTGAAGGTGGACCAGGCTGCTCTGCCCTTTGCGGACCAGCGGAACGGGCGGCCAGGGGAGGGTGCCGGGCCTCCCCGCGCCAGCCCTTGCTGACAGCCGCCCGCCCGCTGCTCGCCCGCCCCCGCAGCCTCGGCGAGGACTTCTACCGGGAGGCCATCGAGCATTGCCGCAGCTACAACGCGCGCCTGTGCGCCGAGCGCAGCCTGCGCCTGCCCTTCCTCGACTCGCAGACCGGTGTGGCCCAGAACAACTGCTACATCTGGATGGAGAAGACCCACCGCGGGCCTGGTACCCGCCGCGAGGCTGGGGCGGGGCGGGGCCTGCGTCCCGGGACCTCACTCTGACAGCCTTTCTTCTCCAGGTTTGGCCCCGGGACAGATCTACACTTACCCCGCCCGCTGTTGGAGGAAGAAACGGAGACTTAACATCCTGGAGGACCCCAGGCTGCGGCCCTGCGAGTACAAGATCGGTGGGTGGAGCTGTGCCCCGACCGCCCCCACCCCCGCGCCTCCCGTGCCCCCTTTCAAGTCCTCAGCCCCACTGCAGCACAGCCAGAATGTAGCCTTTATTTCCCCGAGTGTCTCCACAGCAGGCTGTCTGCCCTCGATGTCTTGAGTTACTTCCTTTGAGTTACTGAGGCTTCCAGCTGTACCTGCTATGTGGGTCATGGCGGAGCAGGTGTAGGGAGGACATCGTGTTATCTGTCTAGATGTATCAAGTCTGACTGTATCTGCTCCCCGGTGAGCTGGGATACACCCATGCTGTGTTTCTTTCTGTGGGTGCCCGAGGGTGTCTGGCTATCTGTGTGGGTGGGTGAGTTAGTCATGTTTCTCGACCTGTGGGTTGCGACCTTTTATCAGGTATCCTGTATATCAGCTATTTACATCAAGATTCCTAACAGTAGCGAAACGACAGTTATGAAGTAGCAATGAAATGATTTTATGGCTGGGGTCACTACAACATGAGGGACTGTAGTCAAGAGTCACAGTGGGAAAGTTGAGAACCAGAGTTGAGTGTCTAATTGCAACTGTTGCTGAGTGGATTCGAATGCAAGTGAGGGTATGTGTCGGAAGGTGTGTGTGTGTGTGTGTGTGTGTGTGTGTGGTGGGTCTGGGTATATCTAACTCTTCTAGGGGTATATATGGTTCCATCAGGGCATCCTCTTGGGGTCCTGATGTTGTGGAGTTGCTATAGGAGACTCCCGGCTTGATTCTGTGTTAGGTGTTTGTTGAGGTGTGTGATAGTTCATAGACTGGAGTTAGTATTTCCCAGTGTGTTCAAGAAAGGTTTCTTCTCTTTGTGTGTGTGTGTGTGTGTGTGTGTGTGTGTGTGTGTGTGTGTGTGTGTGTGAAGGTCTACTTGTATCAGGAGAATGGGAGTACTGGCTGGCCGTGTCTTCCTGTGTGTAACAGACTATCAAGTGGACTGCCTGTATTTCTCTGTGTACGTGCGTGGGCACACTTGAATCCTTGGGGATGTCTGTGAGTGTCCCAGTGTATCATAGGACCTGCCTGTGTCTTCCTAATTAGTGTGGGTCCAGGTTTATCTGTGGCTCTGCCATATCCTTCTGAGTTCCTCTGTATCCCAGGGCTTAATTGTGTGTTTTCTGTGTGTCCAGCTGTATTCAAAGGTCTGGTGTGGTGACTGTCTGTCTGTATGTCCCGCATGCATGTCTGTGTGTATCCTTTCAAATGTCTAACTTTCTCTGGCTGGCCTTTCACTACGCAGGTGTTTCTGAGGGTCCATATTGTTTGCGAGGGTTTCTGGGTATATTCAGTATTCTGGTCTTGTCTTCTTTAGAGAGGAGAGCTGAGGGTGTGGCTCTGTCTCCCCAGGGTCTGGGCACGCTTTCCAGGGCCTGAGGTTGAATCCTTATGTCTTTGTTGGCTGAGTGTGGGAGAGCCCTGTCCCTGCCACGGGACCAAGTTCTCTTCCCTCCCACCACAACCTGGCCCTCTAACCACAGCCTCCTCAGCTGACACCACTTTCCCTGTGGACTGCCCCCAGATTGTGAGGTACCCCTGAAGAAGGAGGGTGGCCTTCCGGAAGGGCCGGTCCTCGAGGCTCTGCTGTGTGCTGAGACAGGAGAGAAGAAGGTGGAGCTGAAGGAGGAGGAGGCCATCATGGACTGTCAGGTAGGAGCCCCGCCCTGGCTGCAGGCCGCTCTCACCCTGGCTCCACCCGGCTCCACAGGGCCTCTGGGTGCCCCGCGTCTCCATCTCCCGGAACACCTCTGCTTGTAGAAGGCTCCCTGATGCTCCCCCGCCCCACCTGCAGCACATCAGTGCCCCCACCTTCTTGACCCCCCAATCTCCCTTCTACTGGGCCCAGAAACAGCAGTTGCTGGAGTTTCCGCATGATCTCGAGGTAGAAGACTTGGAGGAAGACATTCCCAGGAGGAAGAACAGGGCCAAAGGAAAGGTATCTTCCGGAAGCTTCTCCCCACCACCTCCTCCCCAGAGCTGTATGTAGGAGTAGCGGGTTTTATACCCATTTTTATGGATGAGAAAATCAAGACTCAGTGGATATTATAAACATTTGCAAAAAAAAAAAAAAAAAAAAATTGGAGCTTGTGCTGTGGATCAGAACTGTCTGCAGAGCTGGGTGTGGTGGTCCACACCTGGGAGGCTGAGGCAGGAGAATTGCCTCAAGTTTGAGATAAGTGAGTTCCAGACTATTCTGAGACAAGTGAGTTCCAGACTATTCTGAACTACATAAAGAGACCCTGTGCAAAAACATAAAAAAAAAAAAAAAAAAAAATCCTAAACCAAACCAACCACCCACACAACACCTATACACACACAAAACAAACAAGCAAAAACCTTCTGCCAGATGCCCTTAACTCCAGCCCTCAGGAGGCAGAAGCAGGCAGATCTCTGAGTTCGAGGCCAGCCTGATCTACAGAGAGAGAGAGTTCCAGGATAGCCAGGGCTACCCAGAGAAACCCTGTCTCAAACAAAACAAACAAAAACAAACAAAGCAATGAAGAAGTGTTAGAACACACCTTTTCTCTCAGCACTAGAGAGGCCCAGGCAAGAGGATCTCTGAGGCCAGCCTGGTCTGCGCAGTGAGTTCCAGGACAGCCAGGGCTGCCGAGACCTCGTCTCCAAACAGCAACAGCGAAAAGACTTGTCTTCAAAGTTGTACTGAGAGACGTTCGAAGGCTCATAGCTAGAGAGTTTGCCCAGCTTCACGTGGAGATTTAATTGCTGTTGTTCAGTGCTGGGACGGAACCCAGAGTCTGATAGTCACATGATACCTGCTCTGTCACTGAGCCACACCCCCAGTACTGAAAAGAAAAATTAAAGGTTTGTTTCAGTTTGACTTTCAAGTCTAAATGAAGAAGCCTAGTGAAAGCATGGTAGGTAGCATGTACCCATAACCCAGAGGCAGGAGGCTCGGTGCTCGGCCAGCCTCTCCTACATAGTGAGTGCCAGGCCAGCCAGGGCTCCATAGTGAGACCCTGTCTCAAACAACAGCAACAACAAACAAACGCAGAAACCCCAAGAATGATGAGCTTTTCTCTGGTTTTCTGGGCTCCTTACTCCCAACCCTCCTCCCCGCAGGCATATGGCATTGGAGGTCTTAGGAAACGCCAGGACACCGCTTCCCTGGAGGACCGAGACAAGCCGTACGTCTGTGATAGTGAGTTCTGCAGAAGGGAAAGAGAGGGAGTGTGGGACCCAGTGACCTCAACATTATGGCCCTTGTTCTGGTCCTGGGTCCTGGGAGAAGGGGGTGCTCTTTGAGAGAGGGGATGGTGTGATCCGGGAGGCCAGGGTGGAGGAGGTGGCCCTAGAGTCTGACAGCTACCCACTCACTCCTCCTCCAGTCTGTGGGAAGAGGTATAAAAACCGTCCAGGGCTCAGCTACCACTACACCCACACCCACCTGGCTGAGGAGGAGGGAGAGGAGCACGCCGAGCGCCACGCCCTGCCTTTCCACCGGAAAAACAACCATAAACGTGAGTTGGAGGGTCAGGGCTGGTGGGTGAGATGTCCAGCGGTGGGGTGGGGGCAATGGAGCCTGGCAGTGGCTGGGGAAGGGGAGGTGGGGGCACATTAGACATTTCTGGAAAATCTCCAGCTTAACGGTTCCCTCCCCCACCGACCATAGGGATGCTGGCTCTGGGGTTGCCATGACAACCAACCATCTCCTTCCTCTCTCTCTCTCTCTCTCTCTCTCTCTCTCTCTCTCTCTCTCTCTTTCTCTCTCTCTCCCCCTCCCTCCCCTTCCTCTCTCCTCTCTCCTTCTCTCTCTCCCTCACTCCCTTCCCGGGCATAATATTTCTGGGTCTGATTTATTGTTTCAATTAGAGCTTGGAGGGGGGGTTGATAGATGACTCCCCTTCCCTCTCTGGGCCTCCCTTGTTCCCTTCTCTGCTATCTAGGGTCCAAGGGCAAGGCCAGTGGCCCCCAGGGTCCTAGACACCCACCCACACCCGTTCCATGCCGTGACAGCTGAGCCATGGGGGAAGGGACCTGTCTCTCACCTGTCCCTCAGAATGAGCTCAGCAGCCTCAAGCCAGGCCCAGAACCTCCTGTGCTCTGAAAGTGTCTTCCCGAATAGGTTTCCATACAGGTCTCTCAGAACTGCCTGCTAACTGTTGACCTCGGCAACCTAACTTGGGGGTGCACACACATGATGGGGAGGCAGTCTTGGGCTTTCGCTAAGGTTGTACCTATTTCCCACACTCGTACCCAAATAAAGAGAACATTTAGTTATCCCAAGACAAGAATTTTGGTGAGGCTTAGTTTCCCCTCCCCCAGCTTTTTTTTGCTACTTCCCAGTGCCTGGGCCAAGGGTCCACCCCTGGGGCTGGGGCTGGGGACAGATGGGACCTTGCCTGTGGTAAGAGCCCCTTTCTGTCCCCCCACCCCCAGAGTTTTACAAAGAATTGGCCTGGGTCCCCGAGGCACAGAGGAAACACACAGGTAGGGACACCTCCCCCCACCCCGACTTCTGCAGCAGTCTTTGACTGGGGTGCCCCACCTGTCCTGTGCCCACCGCTGCCTGCTGTCTTTCAGCCAAGAAAGCGCCAGACGGCACCGTCATCCCCAATGGCTACTGTGACTTTTGCCTGGGGGGCTCCAAGAAGACTGGGTGTCCTGAGGACCTCATCTCCTGTGCAGATTGTGGGCGATCAGGTGGGCAACCTCACCACAGTTTACTGTAAGGTGTGGGGAGGGGACACCCCCCAGTCTGGATTTGGGGAATGGGAGGCGAGGGAGTGAAGACTGTATCCAGCCCGTCCAGGGCACAGTGGTTTAGCAGAGCCTGGGGGCTGCCCCTGCTGCTGAGGACTGTGGGAAGCTGAGCAGGCTCACCGTAGGAACAGTATGAGGTGCCATGGCTTTGTGCTTTCCTGGCATGGAGAATGGAGAGAAGCTACAGAGGCATTGTGGGTAGGGAACTGAGGTATGGAAGTAATGAATTGCACCACCTGGGTGCTGTGGATAACCGGACAGAACTGTGGTTAATATAATGTGGTTTTTCTGGAGGCCTCACGGGTAGTAAGACTGGTCGCTTCAGCAGCGTGGGTAATGGGTTGTGGTTGTTACAGTATGGGTTGTCTCGGCAGCTTAATACAATGGAATGTGGATGTTATGGCATGGTGGGCTGGGGCTGTGAGATGCCGTGGGTGGGTACCAGGTGCTGTGGCCACTGGCGTTGGGCGCTGTGGGCAGTGGCTATGGCTGTTCGGCTGTGTGGGCTGCCGTGTCTGGCTCTGTGGGACGAAGCTGTAACTATTGGGTGTCGTAGGCAGTGGCTGTTAAACAGCGTGAGAGGTGTCGTCTGTCAGGCTCTGTGGACAGTGGCAGTGCTGTGTGCCGTGCACAGGTGTGTCTGTGCTGGTGTGGGACAAACAGCCAAACAGACAGACACCGCGGGAGTCGTCGTCGTGGCAGCTCGTCTGCTGGTGCCTGGTGTGGCATGGCCTGTGGTTTCACGGAAGCGAGGTGTGGGGACCGTGTTGTGGAAGCGGTTGCTATAGCACCCTGGCTGGGAGAAGGCGGCTGCCACGTTGCTGGGGTTAACACGAGGGCTGGCCGCTCCGCTGTGGGTATTGGAATGTGGCCGCCTAGTGCGGTGCTTAACAGACTGTGCTTGCCACAGTGTTGTGGGTGGTAGAACGTGGTTGCCACAGCACTGCGGGTAATGGAATGCGGTTGCCATGGTATTCTGGGGAGCAGAGTGTGGTTGTCATGGTGGCTGAGTAGGAGACTGTGGTGGCCAACACACAGCTGCTTGCCGGCAGTCCAGCTTCCGGATGTCCATCTGGGGGTAGGGTCCCACCACAAAGCTCATCTTGACCTCTGAGTCAGGGGTGGGGGTGGAGCCATGACTTCCCCAGGGGTGCCATGACTCGCTAACTGCATCGCTGCCCCTTGGTCCCCAGGACACCCCTCATGTTTACAGTTCACGGTGAACATGACGGCGGCTGTGCGGACCTACCGCTGGCAGTGCATCGAGTGCAAGTCCTGCAGCCTGTGTGGCACGTCAGAGAATGACGTGAGTGCCTGTCCCCCCTCCTGTCCCCCTCCCGTCCCTCCTCCTGTCCCCCTCCTGTCCCCCCTCCTGTCCCCCCTCCTGGGCACATCTCCGCTGTCCCCCCCTCCTGGGCACATCTCCGCTGCCCTTCCAGCCCGGCTCTGCTGCTTTTGCCCACGAAGTCTCAAGCCTTCCTTGCCCGTAAGCCCTGGGTGGCCAGCAGGAGTGTGCAGGCCTGCTGTCACCAGTGTCCTTTAAATCCCTCCTCCTCTGACACCTCCTGACCTCCCTTGGGGCTGGTGCTCTTGTTCCCACTACACATGGAAGAGGCTGAGCTCAGGGAGGGAGAATGATACCTGAGGTCACCCAGCCGAGAAAGTCGGTGGGACGGGATTTGAACCTGTACTCATTGCTCCCGAGTTGGTGTCGGACCGGCTGAGCATCACTTAGTACTCCGTAGTTACCGAGTCCGGAGGACACTCTGTGAGTGACAGGCGAGGCCAGTGGGCTCCATGGCACAGCCTGCCGAGCCAGCTCTCTCGGAAGGGCCCCTGGGACCTAGCCCCTGCCCCAGCCCCCCACCCCGGTCTCTGGTGCCCATGCCTCCAGGGTGCCAGCTGGGCGGGTCTCACCCCCCAGGACCAGTTGCTGTTCTGTGATGACTGCGACCGAGGTTACCACATGTACTGCCTGAGCCCTCCCATGGCGGAGCCCCCGGAAGGTGAGGGAAGAGGTGGGCGCCGCCTGGGGTGGGCGGGTTGGAACGCTGTCTTCCTGGCGGGCGGCAGAGACCATGTGCTCTGGGTGGGGGCAGGTGGGGGCGCCCTTCTTCGGCTGGAGTCTAATTCTGTCTCGTGGCTTCCCCCACAGGGAGCTGGAGTTGCCACCTCTGCCTGCGGCACTTGAAGGAAAAGGCCTCTGCCTACATCACCCTCACTTAGGCCTGGCTCCGCTTCCCCGGGACCTTTGGGTGGTGCTAACTTTCCTGGCTGCAGGAGCTCCTGGCTCTTCCCACTCGGCGTCCCCAGTGGGAGGGAGAGGGTGAAGCCCGAGGGGCCAAGGCGGTCTCCCTCCGCAAGTGGAATGTTACCCCGTGGGCGGGCGGGCGGGTCCAGTAGGGCTCCCCCTGCCCCCCTCTCCATCCCTTGGTAAATGGGCACCAGGGGCTTCTGCTCCCCTCAAAGCCATACCCCGCCTCTGGGCGGGCATAGGGGGGTAGTGGATGCCAGCTGGGGGCACGGAAAGAGCCTTTTTCTAAAGAAAAAGACAAAAAGTAAAAAAAAGAAAAAAAAAAGAAATTAATATATACAAAGAGTCCTATAAAGCCTGGCTGGGTGGCGGGGCACAGCTGAGTGTCTGCTGGGTACCGACTTTACCAGTTTCCTGACTGGCACCTCCCCACCCCGTTTCTGGAGTTGCAATTGTCTCAACTCCCCATCCGAGGTGGGTCCCATTCCTTCCTCACACCCAGGCCAGGGGGGCCCAGTGCCCACCCACTGCCCTCTCCCAGTACCCACCGTGGAGACTGCATGATGTGAACCGTGGTTCTGAAACCTTCCTGCCCTCCTTGATAGTGCCCCCTGCTCCCGCCCGCTGGTGCCCGCCAGGCCCTGGGCGTGCAGCTCGGGGAGGCCGGCGGGGCGGGGCGGGGCGGGGCAGGCGGGCGGGCGGCCGCCGCCGCTGCAGTGAGAAGCACAGATTGCAATGGACTCGTTTCCCCCCTCTCTTCTTAGCCCCTTCCCTGCCCGGCCAGGCCGGGCTGCCTCCTGCCCCACCTCGCTAGCCATTTTGGGGGTGGCGAGGGGGTGTGGTTGTTTCTTGTGGTTGTGTGTGTTTGTTGTTCGGGTTCTAAAAAGGGAAATTGAGACTGCAGGTGGGGGAGGTGGGGGGTCTGGGGGGTCTACCCCCAGCCCAGGAGTGCCCCCCTGCCACCGAGTCTCCTTTATTGCCTGCCTCTGCTGTGAATTAACTTGTTCTGTGTATTAAACTGGGCCTGACCCCTCTACCCATGACTGCCTCCTTCTCTAACCTCCTTCGGGTGTCACCAAGATGGGGAGCCAAGGGGCCTCACTGGGGCAGAAACCGCTGTGCTCGGCCCCCACCTCCTTGCCCCTACACCCTGCCTCCCTCTGGCTTTGTCCCAGCTCCTCCCGGTCTTGCTGCAGAGGAGAGGGGGATGGGGTGGAGGGGCTCCCACCCAGCCAGCTGTGGTTGCCCTAGCAACGGGCTGCTGCAGCTGCATCGGGAGGCAGGAGAGGGAGGTGGGAGTGAGGGCTGGGGGAAGGGAGGGCTGGAGAGGCCTGAAGGCAGCCCCCTCCCAGGCTCGGGTGGGGAGATGGCACCCCAGCATGGCTGGCTGTCACCTGGGATTCCCTGTCTTGGGTGTGGCTAAAAGTGAAGAAGGGCAGGACATCTCCAAATACAGGGATTCAAGGAGACGTGTGTGTGTGTGTGTGTGTGTGTGTGTGTGTGTGTGTGTGTGTGTGTGTAGAATCAGGGCACTGATCAGGGAGGAGGAGGATGCTGAGGTCACAAATTTACTGAATGAATAAAGGACAAAGCCGGAGAGATACACAGATGAAGAGAGCCCCCCCAGAATTTTGAGGGAAGAGGACGAGGATGGAGGACTAGTCTAGGAATTAAAAAAAAAAAAAAGGCCAGGCTCTGGCAAAAGACCAGGGGAGGGTGAAGTGGACGGCATTTCGGAGAAGCAGAACATTTACAAAGTCAGGAGGAAGCAAATGGATTAAGGAGCCACTCGGGGAGGGAGAGGCAAAGCCCCTAGACAATAGACAGGGCCGAGGAGGTGGACGGTGTTCTGTGGTTGGAAGGCAATGGTAGCACACCATGTGGCTCAGAATCCCAGCACTGGAGGCTGAGGCAGGAGGATGGTGAGTTACAGGTCACCCTGGGCTACGTTGTGAGCTCTGTCTTAAAAAAAGGGGTGGTGGTGGGGGGACAACAGAAATCTCCAGCGTGCCAGCCAGATGAGGCCAGAGACAGAGTGGCAGCCGGAGCAGAGGTGGGGGAGGAGGGAGTCTGAAAAACTGGGGCAAGAAGGGAAGGGACTGCAAGCAGTCCGGGCGCCATCAGGGCCTGGCGTGCGTGCGTGCGCGGAGCGTGCGAGCTGTGGGGTGTTGGGAGACGGTGGTGTGTCTCCCGGGCCAGGAGAAGATGTGAGAACAGTTTGTTCCCAGGTTCCCTCCCCGCTTGGCCCGGGTTGGTGGGGGGAGGGCAGGGCTGGAGGATGGGGCCCCGAGGAGGGTGGAGAGTGAGGATGTCTGAGAAGCTGGAAGGGCTTGATTCTCCACTGGATAAATGCAAACGCCTTTCGGAAGACATTTTTGGGGGGCAGGGGTGAGCGTAGAGTGCGGAGGAGGGTCAGAGTTGAGCTCAGACACAAAGAAGCCAAGGACAGCCAGTGTGGGGGTGCGGTCCTGTCCGGAGAGGCAGCGTGCACCCAGGAGGCGGGCCCTTGGGGTCTCCCGTGGAATGCCTGAGTCTGAAGTCAGTTTGCCTCGTGTCCCGCCCACCCGCACATGTCCACAGATCGCGTTTTAAGCTGCCCCCACCTCCCCTCTGGCCAAGTGGGTCACAGACGACCTGATCCTGGCTGAGGCTTCAAGAGCATGTTGGAGACACTTCCGTGTGGACTAGAGAGAGACCGATCACACAGTTCCTACCTCTGACCCCAGAGGCTCCCTGGACTGTCGGCAGAGGGAGGTCTGGAGGGTGGACCAACCCAGCCGGGAGATGCGTTGACAGCGGGGCGGGTATATACACATGAGATGGAGATTGGAGGGGAGTGGGTGGCGGCGGCCCGTGGGACCCTGCGGTTGGGCCTTCACTTTTGAGTTTGAGTCCCTCAGACTAGGATGGCCCTTATTTTACCTGACATCTCGTGTTTTTGTTTGTTTTGAGACAGGGTCTACAAGGCCCTGGCTGCCCTGGAACTCTAGCAGACTAGGCTGGCCTCAGACTCAGAGATCTGCTTGCCAGGGCCTGGGGTTAAGGTGTGGACTACCTTGCTCAGCATTTTTTTTTTTTCCTTCCCTCTTAAGACATCAGAAGAGGGAATAGGGTCCCTTGGGTCTGGAGTTGTGAGCTGCCATGTGAGTGCTGGGCACGAGAGTCCTCTGGAGGAGCAGCTGGTGCTCAAGCACTGAGGCACTTCTAGCCCAGCCGTCGGTCTCTCTCCCTCTCTCTCTCTCCTCTCGGACTATTACCACTTATTTTGGGGATAGCACAGGCTGGCCTTGAACTTGCTATGTAGCCGAGGATGACCGTGCATTCTTGATGCCCCCTCACTTCAAGAGCTGAGATTACAGATGTGTATCAACACAACTGGCCTTTTCTTCTTTGAGAGAGGTGGGCTCTTGCTGTGGAGTCCAGGCTGGCCTTGAACTCTCAGGGATCCTCCTGTCCCAGCCTCAGAGTGCTGGGATTACAAGCTGAAGCCATTACACCTGGCAAAAACCAGGGTCTCACAGTGTAGCCCTCGGTAGCCTGGAACTTCCTGTTTCTAGCAGGCTGGCTTAGAACTCAGAGACCCACCTGGCGTGCATTACCCCGCAGACCTAGTTTTCTTTTCTTTCTTTCTTTCTTTCTTTCTTTCTTTCTTTCTTTCTTTCTTTCTCTCTCTCTCTCTCTCTCTCTCTC